CTTCCAAAGAGCTTAGCTGTGCTGTTCCTAATTCTGGATAACCCAAGTGTGTAAGCAGTTGGGTGAAGAAGGCTATGGCAGGCTACCAGGGAGGTTTCATTAGCATTTTCAGCAGGAGGGAAAATTTTTTTTTAGTTACTTATAACGAAAACGTTCCATAGTTGGTCAAAATTTGACAAAATCATCTGCACAGCTGGTCAATATAATTAAACCCTTGGAGGTTACAAAATGGAAACATTAATTTGTTCAGCCACAAGAACATGTTATTTTCTTTAACCCTGGCTCACAGAAAAACTAGAGTATCCAAAATTAATGCTTTTAACCAGTTGTGTGACCAGAAAATTGAACAACCACTTGCAGATATTAAACCAAAACAGTACTAAAAGGTTATCTTATGGAAAAACCTCTTGTGAAAAATGCAAGCTCAGTTGATCCTTGGAAAAAAGGTCCTACCTAGGAGGTATGTCAGTTATTTGTACAATATCAAGAGTGCCTCACAAAATCCTTAAGCAGCACCATAGTTAGAAGAGAGAGTCTCCCTCTAGCATGGTAGCACTAAATAGAAATACAGCTCAATGCTCTCTTTCAAATGTTCACATATTAAGTTTCCATCTAGAGACTTAAGCAGTGTTCACACTAGGCCGAAACATGGTTAGTCTAATCACAAATGAAACAGGTTTCGTTATGAAAAGTGTTCACATCAGACAGTGCATTGCACAAATCATGGTTGAAACATGATTATTCTGAGCATGATTGAAACAACCTTGCGAGGTAGTTTCACTCATGATCAGACCAAACACGTTCAAAATGGCAGACAGATGTGCAGAGGAGGTGAGTGCCCAAAAGAACTAAAATTGGTGCTATTATGAGGCCAAATGTCTAGTTGAAATGTGGGCCAATGAGGAAATGCAATGGCAATTATCGGCAATGGGTAGAAAGCAGAATATCTGGGGGAGAACATTGCTGCAAAACTTAATGACAAATGCCTGTACGATGAAACAGCATTAATTATACTACCAGGCATGAAATGTGTTTGAAACTGACATCTGATGTGAACAATGCAATAACAAACATGTTTAGGTGAAACATGTTTACTCTGAGGATGTTTCAGCTTTAATGTGAACACAGCTTTACCAGTTAAAACTTGTTTCAGCATTTAACATACCAGTAACATTCAACTTTAAGTTCCCCAGCTGGGACAAGGTTTAAGCAAGCCAGTTGAAAGAAGGAAAACTTTATAGCAATAATAAATATTTGTAGCTTCCAGCATTTTTTTAAAATACAGAATATATTTTATTTAAATAATTTATATTATATTATCTGTGTTGTTCGAGTTTGTTTATCTGAGTATTAAGTACACAACTACAATTCTCCTTGTGCAAAATCTCAAGGTGTATGTACACATTCAGACTATAGATTCAAGTTATTTAGAAAAGTTGGCAGCCAATCTGGAACTCCTCTTCACTTCAGAAGCTGTCTTTGGCCTCTGCACTGTGTCAGTTGTAGTGCCAGACCCTCTTATTCTAGGCTGCGCATTCGCTGGCAGACTTAACCGTTTTTTTGCTCTTGGTTGAGCTGTTATAATTCTGGGCTGCTGAGCAGCTCCTCCAAGGCTTTGCCTTCCTGGTCTCTTAGCAGGTTGAGTTCCACCACCTGATCTCAGGCTTGATAGTCTTTCAGGGTTTCTGTGTGCATTATCTGTTGTTTTTGGTCGATTTACAGCATCCTGCTTTCCTATTTTGGAATTCCTAAAGGAAAGGCAAAAAATTTCAAACATAATTCTTTATACTGATTATCCTTTATTTTATTTCACATTTAATACTTCTGAGAATAACGTGGCACTTCCTTCCATTATTTTCCTGGTTTCATTCCTTAATGCCAAACACCTGTAACATCTACTACATGGAAGAACTACAGCTATATAGCCACTCCCCTACACAGGTTGCCTGCCTATAAAACTAGGTAACATTTTTTCTGTCACCAGCAGGTCTACTTGCCAGTGCATTTACATGAAAGTTGTCACCTGACTGCTTGACATTGCAGTAATATTTTAATATTTAAGTTTCAGTACGTCTGAGAATTTGGAGGGATATCAAGACTATCATTGCCTAGTACCAAAGGCCCGTAATACCTGCAAAGAGGTACAGCCATTAGCTAGCCCTCTGTACGCATTGTCTACCTATAATACTAAGCAACATTATCTTAACCTCTGTCAGCTGTCAACTTGACAGTTCAGTTATATCATAAGGAGACATCAGATGTTGGTCACTCTTAGGAAATTAAGGTTGAACAGGTCTGGATTGATGTTAAATTACAGTTTAAAATAAAGGTGCAGATAATCAGTATCTCACAGTGGTTTCTCAGGAGCTGTAGCTGGTCTGGTGCTTTGCTTAGACCTATCAGAAAACAAAGCAAACAAGAAACAATATGTTCAGTGATGTACTAATTAATGATGAGTTACAGGAGACTAAAGGGAGCTATGAGCTCATTTATTAAACAGCTAACCTTAGTAGTAGGCAGGACATCCATCACTTCCTAAACTGGGGCTGTTCGTGACCAATGAGTTTGGTTGAACAGGGCAGAAAGATTAATGCAGTAATAAAGACATGGCTGCAATAATGCTTGCTGCGAGCTCTGCTTAACCGATATCTAAATTAAAAAACTGCACCTTGTCCTGTCAGATGGCAGAGGTGGTGATGTATGTCCCTGCTGTGGCTTTAGCACCCTGAAGTTAGAGAAAGTAAACCATGTGTGAGTCCTTTACCAAATTGTGCATTCTCATACCATAACATTACTTCATTCTGAATGATATGCAACAAAAATTGAAGTCACATTATTTCATAAATTATGTGCATTATACAACCAGTATATGCATGGTAGAAATGTTCATTCATTCTGACCAGTCAATACAATCAATCACTGATTTCATACTAAAAAGAGTCGTTGTTACATTTGTAAACTAATTATTAGTTTTACACAAAAATGTCACTATTTAGTGATATTAGCTTATGACCGTAACCAATCATGGTTTTGCATAGCTGTTCCCAGGAAAACCAGAATAATGTCAAATGAAACTTGCAAACCAGACTTATTTGTTACAGCTGTTGTGGTGCTAGTCCCGAGCAAAACAGCAAGTTTTAATTCCCCAAGATCAATTTTAAATTTCAGAGGGACAACTGAGACCTTTGTGAACAAAAGAGTTCTTACTAATAATCGTAATAATC